GGGGGGATAAATGTAACTTACCACCCCCCCTGGTCCAGTTTCAGGCCTTTTTTGGGGGGTGGGGGGGGGGTTGGACCTTGCTCACGCAGCCAGCAAAATCAAGGAAAGGGATAGAAGGTTGCTTCATTTGTTTCTGTGAAAGCTTCAAAGTTACATTTTGACCCCCCTCCCCCAAAAAAAACACATGCGCGGACTGGAGATCTCTGGAAGATCCCTGGGGAAATCGGGGAAACACCGACAGAAGAGACGCAGAAAAAAACATGGGGGGGGTCGTGAAAAAATGTAACGTACATTTATTGACGTCCAGGTCCCCCGCTGTTTTTATAGATAGAAACTAGAAACATGTAACTTAGGGAGGTTGGACGTCTTCTTTCAGAAGGCCAAAGCAGCAAAAAACCAAATGCTTCTTGCCTTTGACAAGACATAAATGTAACATGCAGAAAGCAGGCTTGAAAATGCATGGCCACCATAGCATTTCAGCCAAGCGTGTGACCCTGTGACAAGCTGCGCACTCGACGGCAATGATTGAGGGCACCGGCAAATCTAGAGAAACAACATCTAGAAAGAAGATAAACCGTAAGAAGGACATACTTAAGGAAACATGTAAGCTGGGAGAAGCCAAAATTAGGGAGAGCACCAGCAAACCTAGAGAAACACCAGCTACAGCTAGAAAGAAGATAAGTCTTCAGAAGGACATTCCTACTTTACAGGGAAAATGTAAGCTGAGAACCTGGGATAAGCAAAAAATGTGGAGGGCACCAGCAAATCTATGTGGAGGGCACCAGCAAATCTAGAGAAACAACAGCTAGAAAGAAGATAAGCCTTAAGAAGGACATACCTGAAAAGAAACTATAATTACGCTGGGAACCAGGGACAAACCAAAACTGGGGAGAGCGTCAGCAAAAGCTTGCGAAATCAGTTCCGTCCGCCAAAGCTTGCTAACGTGTTTTTGCTTAGAATTTCCAAAACGCAAGTCGCGAAAGTGTTGCGAAAGGAACTTGCGAAAGAAGAGCCCATTAGAACAAGTTCCCGATAGGTTTTGAGCAATGCTCACATGATCTCACATGATTGTGCAATCTGTGCATGCTTTCCCATATGTCCCCTAATTGTAACTTATATACATTTTCTTAATAATGCAACTTACATGTCTGTTGAGGTCATTTCAGGCATGTTGGCACCTGGAAAATGTAATCTTACATTTTCTACGTCTTGCCAGGAACATGTTAGATTACATTTTCCAGGTACACCAACCTATGGAAAATGTAAGTTACAATAAACAGGTCCCCCCCATCATGGGGGTGGGGATGTTCCTAGATTGTTTTGAGTGACGTGTGGCCGCCAGTGGCCGGTGACTACATGGCCCTATGCCTGAATTTTTGTTGGCATTCGTTCGACTTTCTCGGGTGCTCATATCGCTTGAGCCAATGCTAGTGGCCCTCTCCAGACATGGATTGGTGTTTGCCTCATTTAACATCATTCAACCATGTTCCTCAAGAGTTGTGTTGATACAGCGAGATTTGATGATGATCATGTGCTGCACACCTGGTGCACACCTCAGGTTGACGATGTTCTGAGCTTCGGGTCTCGAATATCAAGAATCTTCTCATTTTAGATCCTTGCACTGATGGGCCTCATCAACTGTGCAGGATTGACGGTGTCGCTCTTTTGGTCTGCATTTTCAGACTCAGGTCCTTTTCGCATGGTTTTCTCCAAGCTTCTGTGACATGCGTGTCCTACGTATGCCTCTCTCCGGTATAGCCCGCCGGTGTTTCAACCCCCCCTGCCATCCGCCGTTCCTCCACGCGTCGCCAGGCAATGCCATGATCGGCCTCTCCACGGTGAATTGCCTGAACGGCGGCAAGGGTCGCTTGGGCCCTTGCGTCACGGCCTTGGGCATCATGGCATGTGTCATGGGCGCCTATCCCCTGCTGAACTTCATCCCGGTCGCCGCTCTGGCGGGGATCATGCTGGTGGTGGTCTTCCACACCTTCAAGTGGTTCACCATCCCCATGATCTTGGCCGCGCTGCTGCCGCGCAGCTTGCGCAACAAGCTAAGCTTACAGCGCAAGGTGCCCAGGATTGACGCCCTGGTGACCTGAATAAATGGATGGGAGGTCCTTGAGGATCAAAATAAGACCAGAGTTCCCCTAGACTCTTGCTTTGTAAGTCAGGGGTGTTTGCAGATGTCACAATGATGTCCCGCGACTGGTGGGGTTTTTAGAGAGCCCAGACCACCACGCCCAGGTGATCATCATCGTCACCATTTTGTGCAAGTGGCCGGCAGGTACCAACATCGCGGTCGCCGTGGGCGTTGGGGTGGCGATTTGCTCCATGTCATATGCCTGGCGCTCGGCTGATACTTTTGAGGTCATTGTCAGTGAGGACAGGGTTCGACTGCTGGGTCGGGCAGTTGGGGGTTGAGGGATTTACAGGGGTGACAGGCTCTTGTGGTGCCTGTGCCCCGTGCTTACACACCACTGTTTGCAGTATACGACTTATGCAGTATGCAGATCGTTTTGCAGTGTTTCAATCCCGACCTCCTGAATGCGTGATGGGAAGGAGAATGAGATCAAGACCTACTTCGTTCACGGGCCCTTCTTTTTCACCTCAGCGAACCGCTTCTTGAAGATCTTGAATGCTGACACAGACCCCGAGGCGTGTTTTTCAGCGAGGGCTGTTGGTTGGATGGATCGGGATGGTTGGATGGATCGGGGCTGCCTGACGTTTTGGAACGTTTTGGGGGAACGCAACTCAAAAAGGACGCAAAGCCGGATGAACATGCACAAGAAGACCAACCAGAACATGAACTCCCGTGTTTTTTTCCTTCTGGGTCTGCATGACTTGGCAGACTCTTCACGAAAGCTACTTTAGCCGCTAGCCTCAGCCTCAGCCAGTTGGAGTCGCTTTTGCTTTAGCCAGGTGTAGGGAGGGGGGGGGCACTGGAGGTCATGTGACTTTTCACTTTGGGAGTCGAACCCCTCCACAGGGTTCAACTCCCACCCCTAGTGATGGCCTTTGAGCTGGGATCAGCTTTCGTTCAACTCCCTCGGCCTCAAGTGACCGACACGCCGAGAAAACATGGAAGTGGTGTTTCGGTGTGACACGCCGACAGACAAACTTGTGGAAGTGGAAGTGGACTTGCCATCTGTGGGAGATGCCTGTACATAGCCAGATCAACACCTACACTGCCTACACTCACCATCTACCAGGGCAACGCCTTCAATACATCACCCTCGGGTCAATTCTTCTTTCGCCCACACCACCTCGGGTCCATGAGTCCATTCCGCGGGAATGGTCTTCAGCGAGGTGGTCGAAGTGGTCTTCAGCGAGGCGACGTCCCTCTTTGACTATTCGGCCATGCAGGCGATGAACAAGATCTCGGCGGAATATAAATCGAAGGGCAAGCAGCTCCTTGGATTGGTCCCCACCCAAACACCCAAGACTGCCCAGGGGGCCCGAGACGGACCTTGAGAACTTGGGCCTTCGCCGGTTTGGGGGTGGGTTTTCATGTTTTTTTCGCTCATGGACCGAGGATCCTCTTCAAGTCCCTGTGCTCCAAGAGCACGAAGCTCCTCATGAAGGCCCAACATCTCATGGCCGAGACGGAATACACCGAGCGGGACATGGAGGCCGGTCCGATGAGAAGCGCTGGGACCGGAGACGTCCCCACCCGGAGAGGTGCCGAATCCACCGATTGGAAGAGCTGCCGTCGCTCGCGGATCAGGCTCACCACAGGGCGAAAGCTATGGCTCAACGGCCCTTGTTTTGGCCAACCCGAACCAGGCAAATGGTGGTTGTTGCATCCAGGCATCACTGGTCTACAGACTCTCGGCGAGATGCCCCCACTCCACTCCCCATCATCCGGACATTCCCATTTCCCAACTAAGGTCTTTCCTTGGAAACTTCCGATCAAGAAGGGCTGTTCCATGGTCATCGATTCGCCTCAAAATGAACCCACGCACCTTTTCCGTCAGCGGTGGTGACGGGAATTGCTGCTAGAACACGCTGCTGCACCACGGAAACGTTAAGGAAGGTCACGGTAACGTTGCCGGGTGATGAATAACACCCCCGCAACGGAGATGTGAACCGTTTTTTAAAAATGCATTGACTGTACTCTTGATTCATACCCCCCCCATATGAAAAGGATCGGGGGGGTGCATTGATCAAGAGTCTACATTAATTTGGTGGTTCCAAGTTTCCTGGTCATCGCAGCTGGACGTCGCCCGGTTCGCTGGGTGGAGCGACGTGGCCACGACGTTAACGATGAGCAGTCGCATGGTCACAACGGTGGAGTCCTCCACACAACGGCGGTTCGGTCCGCCAAGTTGTTCCGAAAAGAGCTGAGCCGCTGAGCTGCTGAGCTGCATGGCACGGCTCTTTCTGGGAGGACGCCTAGTTGACACTTGAGTCTAATCGTGGTGCACATTGAGTCTCATCGTGTCTTCCAAAATGAGTCGTTTGCCTTTTCAAAGCTCCACACACTTGCGCCGCGCTCTTCAGTTTCTCGGCAGGTGGTGAACTTGAAGGGTGTGGAGGATGACCTTGGTGATATCCCTGAGGGCCTCCATGGCGATTTGGGCCTGGCTTTGGAGAAGTTTGGAGTTCCCAACCACCGCAACGGCAGCAAAGAGCCTTGGCAGTGATGGCGAGTGCCTTCTTTTTTTTTTGTGGGAAATGATCCGATGGATCGTATAGGGCCCATCAACCGGTGCGAGTGTTCGAAACACAAACTTTCAGTTGAATTGGTCGTTTTCTGGAATGCGGCCGGTTGGAGGGAAGGACTGGTTGGACCTTCTCGTTCTGGCGGCCACACCCTCTCTCTGCTTGGATTCACCCATCCAAGCTCCAAAGAATGGCCAGAATCCATCCATCCATGACTTAGGAATCCGTGGTCAACCACGACGACTTGAGGGTGGTGGTTGGCAGCAATGATGGTGATTTGCTCAAGGCCCCGACAAGGTCGGTGTCGCGCATGAACAAGAAGTCTCCGGGTTGCATCATGGTCTGCCCCTGCACAGGGGGCGTGTGAGCATCTCGCGCGAATGCGCAAAGGTGCGGACGTGTTTCAACCCGATTTTTCTCAATATCCTTTGAACTAGGCCCGCCCTCCCATGGAGCGCGAATAGAACTGCAGAGGAGGGAGAAGAAAGGTGCCTGAGTGAAGCTGCTCCTTCGAGAAAGCTAACCAAGAACGTTTAATGTGACGTGAGACCAAAAAGGCAAGCAATACTTGTACGCTCTACCACACCTGTTCTCTGCACTCTTGTGCCTCTCTTGACCTTTTTTGCCTTTCTCTTTGGAGCTCCTGGGGCACGCCAGGAGCTAAAGGCGGCCATCCGAGCGGCCGCCGCCAAGCCAAAGGCCAAGAAACCCGAGACCGAGGACTGCTCGACGGATGCTACACCCACTGCTACGTCGTCTCCACAGGGTCTCCGGCCAATTCGAGCGAGGAAGGCGAAATCTCTCATGCATAACAATCAGTGAGATGACGTTGTCCAGCTCCTCATTGGTTTCCAGAGCTTACAACGTGCAGGAGCTGGTCGGCTTGTGCCAGTGTATCGGCACTTTGGCTTGTGGCCTCAGCACCACCCCGAAGAGGACAAAAGACAAATAACAAGCAGCGAGAGACGCGGTGGAGGATCAGATTTTGCTCGTTGAACACTTGAGGCTTGAGGCTGTTACATTTTAAAGGCCCCCACACTTTATCACTGCAAAGAACTATTATGTCCTATTATATACATGCCCAATTCCCGCGTTGGGGCGGGGGCACGGCAGGGTGTCACAATCTCACGCCGGGGAAAGCCGGTGGATGCTGTACGAATGTTCGCACAACGGCTTGTTGTGTCATGTTGCATCCAAATCCACCAAGGCTTGTTCAGTGAACAGCTCCTGACCTCTGCAGGGCTTTGAAGAATACATTTTGTTGGGGGTTGTTGAAATCTGATCAGTAGAAATATTTCGAAATCATTATTCAATCCTTCCCAAATCTGCGGTTGGATGAGAGGGGTGGCTCTGAGTCACTCTGAGTTGGTTATTTTCAATGGTGAGAGGCCTTTCAAAATCTTTTCCAACGGCAAGGGGTCGCATATGATGCACAGAGGCCGCCTATGACTGAGGCTGGAAGCAATGAGATCTTCAAGCAGGTCAAGGAAATCCTGCCCAGGCGTGCATGTTGGTGGTACCATGTCAGGTTCCATGCCTTCTGACTTGCCAGTGGTTTCTTTTGCACACCTCTTGATGCAAGTAGATCTGGGTTTGCTTGAAGCACCCTCCAGGGGGCTGCGAGACATGCCTTTCCTCCTTGGTCGATTTGTCCTTGCTCCCTTTTTCCGTGTCGGCCTGGACAGGATCGGTGAAAGCCACCTGGTGCCCTTGATGGGCATCAAGCGCCCCGCCCCCCGC